ATATACAGTTCCGGGCGCTGGAAATAAAAAGTTCCCCGCCGTAGAGTGTTGCCATTCCTCGCTTTTAAGTCGTTAATCAAAAATTCGTTGAAGTTTTACAAAATATGAAATAGCTAATAAAACAAATTCCAAATTTGGGCTTCCAGATGCCCATATTCGAGTGGAAACGTATGTTATTCAAAATTGAATGGCTCAAAGTACCGCCGTTTTATCACAATGCGAGAAACATGCATACATTGATGCAGATTCTTCATTACTTTTTATCTTGAAATGTAATACAGGGCGATAATATTGTGTGGAAACAATTTGAAAAAATGAATCGGACATTTATAGTGAAACAACGCAAAATGCCAAAATGAAAATAATAGTCCTTCAGGGCAAATTGCTCCTTTGGACTAAAAAGATCTGAAAGCTTTCAGATTTTACATTACGTCCAAAGGGACTTTTTTTTTAAGATTTTGTGTGCTGCCTTTATTTATTAAATATCATGTTCTTCGTAATTAAACCATAAAATTCAGCTCAAGAGCAATATCAGAAAATAATTTTGAATTGAGAGTATGTTTAGAGTTTCCGATGTATAGTCTCGCGCGCTGGAGATAAAAATTGTTTTTCTGCACAACGTTGCTATTGCTCGCTTTGAAATCCTTGAGTTTGTTAATGGAAAATTCGTTAAAGTTTTACAAAATATTAAACCGATAAAAAAAAGAAATTCCAAATTTCAAATTTGGTCTTCCTGATACCCATATTCGCAGTAGGATTAAGTCATTGAAAATTGGATGGCGTTGTTTTATGACAGTGCGAGAAACATAAATATATTTATGCAGATTTAATTTCTTCAAATATAATACGTGGCGATAATATTGGGTGGCAACAGTTTGACAACTGAAACTGACGTTAAGAGTGATTCGACGCAAAATCGCGTAACGAAAACATTTTAGTTCCTCAGGAAAAAAGCGCTGTGACCAACGAAGTTACAAATTTTCTTTTAGTCAAATGCTAAATAATCGTATTCTTGCATTTCAATAAAATTTACTGCATCAATGATTGATAAGGTTTCTACGTTGATATATTAATGTGGGATTTTAAATCCATAGCTTAATAATATTTTCCTTGCGCGCTGTCTAAATTTTAGCTGTTGATTGCACGGTTGAAATTGATAGAACTCTCGCCACTTTGTTTTATGAGAAGAGATATACGATGATATAGATGTGTTAATAGATGTAAGATGTTACAACGTCCTCCGTTACGACTACTACTACTACTTAACCGCCATCAGCGGCGAAGAAAGATGAAATGAATGAAAATAGACCTTCTTTGGCGAAATGAAGCAGCTCCAATGATGGAGCACAGCAATAACTTTTATTTAACACTAAAAAAAATGGCGACATACAAACAAGAAGAGAAAACATATTCTCACACTTAAAAATAAATTACATTCTTCGTGCGAGAGTCGCACGTGGCACTCGAGTCTGTTTTCAAATATTGCCATTCACAAATACCTTAATGTTCATTGTAACAGCTTTACATATTATTAAAATCTTGTAGTTTAAATAATTTAAATAGATGAACATTAAGGTATTTGTGAATGGCAATATTTGAAACCAGACTCGAGTGCCACGTGCGACTCTCGCACGAAGAATGTAATTTATTTTTAAATGTTAGAATATGTTTTCTCTTTTTGTTTGTATGTCGCCATTTGAGTGCTAAATAAAGTTTTTTCTGTGTTCCATCATTGGAGTTGCTTCATATCGCCAAAGAAGTATCACATCATCTATTTAAATTATTTAAACTACAAAATTTTAATACTATTTAAAGCTGTTACACCAGCAATGTGAAAGAAAGTTGGATCAGTAAGGTAGTAGGTACTTCAAATAATTAACAAAAATGTTAGGTTAGAATATCCGAAGGATATTTCTGTTTTGCTCTAGAAAAAGGTGAGCATCGCAAAGAGCTGATACAGCTGTTTGGATGTAATAGTACAGGAAGGAAAAAATTTATTGCAAGTTTTTTTATATAATTTTGTATAGTAATAACTTGAAGATCTCTGTGAATATGTGAATTTGGGATGAACCAGGGTGCATTAATAATTTCACGAAGGGTTTTATTTTGAATAACTTGGATCCTTTTTATGTGGGTTTTAGCGGCGTGTCCCCATACCGGACTGGCGTAAAGTAAAGTAGGTCTAAGGATGGACTTGTATAAAATAAGCTTATTGTTGATAGTCAGATTGCTATGTCTGCCGAGGAGAGGACGCACAGTAGCTATTGAGATATTGAATTTCCTGACAGTTTCGTGTAAATGTTGCCGAAAACTGAGTTTTGTGTCAGGCGGCCAGTAGCCCCGTGATCCCTTCTTATTAGTCGTTTGGCCTTTTTTACATCATTTACTAACTTCTGGTAAGTAGTTTCGGTTCTTCGAAACGAATCGGAAATATATTACACACGTTGACGGTTTCTTACTTGGCATTTTATAGAATGCCTAGGAAATGTGTGAAATGTAGCGTTTCATATATTGCCGGGCCCACCAGCGGCCGAGCGATAAAGACGTTGAACACTGGTAGTTCGGTCCGAGGTTCGAATCCCGCGAACGGGCTGGCTGCATGGGCGTTTTCGTGGTTTTCCCCCATGTGTAACGTGTATACGAGCCAGTTTCCCTTAGAAAGTCCTCCACTAAGGCATCCCTCCCTTTAGGCAGATAGCCCTCGTGTACTTTACCATATTTAAATAATCCAATCCATATATTGCCGGCTAGTTTTAGGCATTATATACAGTGCCGAATTTCAGACTTTCCGGTAACATACACATCAATGATAAGATACTACACTACGCATAACATTAACAAAGGACAATTTTCTTGTGTGGAATGATCCGAAATCTTAAAAACACTTCTTTATTAATGTTTATTGTTAAAAACCTGCTAAGGAACTATGTTTCAATTAAAAGTAAATAATTATTTCAAGTAAAAAATATAATGTTTAGTAAAACTTTATCAGACATTATACATGAAGATGTTTTAAGTTTATGACTGACGCAATAGTAAAAATATTAAAATTAATTAAAATTTATTTGTATATTGATTAACACAATCTTTATCCTCATTCCCCCATAGCACAGAGCATCCTCAGGATGTCCTATTTAAGTCGCAAGATCCCGGGACATACTTAGGATGTCCTGAGGATGTAATAAGTAGTTCTCATCCTAATAACATCACGTACGCTATCGAGGCGACTTAGTTAAGGAGAATACGCTGGGATGTGCCATTAAGCACTCGGGAGGATGTGTTAGGAGGTTCGGGAGATATTCCGGGATGTCCTGAGGATGTGCACATATCCCGCGACCAACATCCTGAGGATGTTTTTGTGCTACCTGGGTTATGCAAACTTTTGTATAATTTGTCAGCCTTTACATATTTACTTGTTTTAGTAATAAATAATCTTATTAACCATCACCAAAGAATCGCTACGGTTTTCTGCAGGTGAAGGCAAGTGACAGCTTATTTTGATCTTTTGGAGCTTCATCAAATCTTCCTATCTAATGTAAAATACTGCAAATAATAGCCACTTTTCCAAGACATAATATGGAGATTCAAATAATGTAAATCATTGTTTTATAAAGAGTTACTTTCTTAGCTTAATTTCTGAACTTTCTTAATTTTTAATCTGTTCCTGCTTTCGCTAAATTTGCTTGTTTGATCTACGCATTATTTTTTTTACCGCGAGATGTTAACTTAATAGCCTCGGAATTTCATTAAAAAACCGCCAAGTAATCCATAGAAATAACATGAATAAAAGATTCAGAATGTGGTCTTAGCGGCCGAGCGGAAATGTCGCTGAACACTGAAAATTCGGTCCGGGGCTCGAATCCCGGCTAACGGGCTGGCTGCGTGGTCATTTCCATGCTTTTCCCCATGTGTAACGTGTGTACCAGCCAGTGTTCTTTAAAACGTCTTTCACGAAGGCATCCTTCATCTTACGCAGCTAGTCCTCGAGAGCTTTGCCATAATTAAATATACCATACCAAAAATGAATTCAGATTTAGTGTTTTTAATTTAGTATGGCACCGATTAGAAATCATAATAAACTTATTTGTTGGCGATAACTTAAAATCGAGAATGAGAGATAACTCTTATATTGTAGCTGCCAGACTTCAGGTTGGTATGCAGTGCAATAATCTAAATTTCTTGCAACTCAAATATAAAGCGTGCAGTACGATACTCTGCCAGCGGTAGGGATTAGTGAGTACGTGCAGATATTTATAGAGACTGATTGATAGAATAGAACGAGGCATCAAATCCAATTAAGTGCATCAGGGAAGTGACACTAGAACCTCTGAGCCTGTAAAATGAAGGATAGTTCATATTGAAATGAAAATGAAGGAAATGAAGGAAAGTCTGTAAATGAAGGACAGTATATACTGAAATGAAAATGAAGGAAAGCGTGTAAAATGAAGGATAGTACATATTGAAATGAAAATGAAGGATAGTACATATTGAAATGAAAATGAAGGAAATGATGGAAAGCCTGTAAAATGAAGGATAGTACATACTGAAAATGAAAATGAAGGATAGCCTTCAAAATGAAGGATAGTACATATTGAAATGAAAATGAAGGAAATGAAGGATAGTACATACTGAAATAAAAATGAAGGAAAGCCAGTAAAATAAAGGACAGTACATACTGAAATGAAAATGAAGGATTCCCTGTAAAATGAATAATAGTACATACTGAAATGGAAATGAAATATTAACATTACAAGGTATTTCTCCCACCTTCTTGGCATGCCTTCGTGGCGTGGTGGTCTGCACGCTGGGAGCGTATTCCAGAGGTCCGTGGTTAGATTTCCGGCGAAGGCGTTGCTGATTTTTCATCTTTCCTGCTTTCAAAAAATCCTAATGTCTCTACAAAGGGAATATTTAATTTGCATAAATGTTTTCTGTGTAAGTGAATATGGTAGGGTATTTCCTGAAGGTCTCTGCAAGATAATTTGAAAGAATACAACATATTTAAAAACTGAAATTCACTACACATTTATTTAGTTCTATATGATAAAAAAATAACATTACTTATTTGTTATTAAGGTGAAATAAGATATACTTCATAGGAAACTTGACGACGTCCAACGTACTCGTACGATTACTTTTACATTTATAAAAAAAGTCTGTTTCAGCATATTTTATGACACATTTTTTATGGCTTAAGTTTCATAATATAGATAATCGTTTATTTTTCCTTACATTGCTTTCTTTTTAAATTACTCTAAAGTAATTTAAATTTTCACTAAGATATTTTCTGTAAAAACATGTTTCTTTATAAAAAAAAACAGTTTAGGGCAGTATCGGATCTTTAATTTTCAGATAAAGTTTTTCTTTTTCGCTTTTGAATATCAAAGTGGTGATACCAGGTGCATGGCGATATTTCATTTCAAGCATTCCAGAATCAGGTTTAGGCGTAAAGTTGAATTTTAACTTTTCAGATTCTAGGCATAGATTTCTATTAGTCAAATCTGAAGAACACAGGGAGGAAATAGATGATGGTTCAAAGTCTGCTGAAGCACTCGCAAAAGGTGCATTTAGGCCAGCAGGATGCTGGTGGTTTTCGGATGATTTGCATAGCATGTTGTCTTCACTTACGTTTTCAATGCTTTGGTTCATGTCTTGAAGAGCCTCGGTCTGAATTTTATTTTCCTCACTAATGTTCTGAATATCAGCTTTAGAAACACTTTTGTTTTCATGAGAATTGAGGTCGCACTTTCTGCTGTCCACTACGGATGGTAAAAGTTCATTCTCACACTGTTCTTGCTCTTTATCCATTGGCTTCTGATAACTTTCAGCAATTACAATCATAGTTTCCTGAAGCACATCTTTCATTGAATTGTTACTATTCTTCCAGGACGTTTCTTCGCCGTTTATTTTCTCAGTATCGGTAATCTCCTGTTGCGTTTTCCCATTTTTATCTGATTGGTGTTGACTTTCCGTCGATGTATGTAGATGACTCATAATCGGAGACTCAGGTAGAAGACATGAATCACAACTCTCATCAGGAGCACTTGAAGTGCCATTGATCTGGCACTGTGGTTCCACACATTCAAGACACTGATTGTGGTTAGACTCGTTGTCTTTTTGCTTTAATTCATTTTTACTTTCACCAATTCCAGCGGCAGAAAGTTTAGCATTTTCACCAAAATTGCTGTCAAGCACAGTATCAGTACCATCAGAAATGGTACTCAAACCGGAACTAGAATGACAAGTACTAGAAGAATTGTAAGACATCTTCGGCTGCCCTTCTCCAACAGCATCGACACATATCGATATATGTTCATTATTAATTTCAAAAGGCAAACAGCTATAATCAACAAATGCAGTTTCTTTATGCCCTGATTTCTTTCCAGGTATTAAAAGTTCTCCAGCATTTTCAGTGGAATTAAATTTTAATTTTCTTTTCGAGTTTTCTAATAAATTTTTCACGTCGACACATTCCGAATCATTTTCACTGACTATTCGAAGAGTGACTTCGCTTAGCTCATCTAAAAATTCTAAGCTGATACTGTCATGTTTCAATTGATATCGAAGAGGATTCTCATCGCTTTGAAGGTTTTGTCTACTTTGAGAAGATGTCATTTCATTTTCTCCGGGATATGTGCTTTCCGAAGCAAGATTACTATCTGCACTGTCGCAGAGTTCATTGTTCCAAGCCATATGGCCACCCCGAGTTTTGCACTTTGGTTCGTTTTCGGATGCAGTGATATGTGTAAGATTTACAGACTGGAAAGCACCTACAGATGACCTCGATGGGTTTAAAAGAGAGTTACACGATACACAGATTGGTGCATTTTTCGGTGAGTTACACACATTGCCAGTTTCAGTTATATATGTCTGATCCAGGCTAGGTGTTCTGGAAACACCCGCATCAAGTAAATCATACGAATATGACTCGTAGTTAGCATCCGAGGTTTCAATCTGAATATCAGCCGATGTGCCCTCCGAAGTTTCAGAACAGATACTCGTGCTTTGATGAAAGCGGAAATTTTCATCTTCGCTCGATCCTGCAGGCAGAGAGGAAGAAGATGAGAATTCATCTACTCGTTCTGAGCTGTAAAACACTAAAGAACATTGTGGCTCCTTTTCAGTTGAAATTTTAGGATTAGTTGAATGCAAAACCTACAAAAATGAGGAAAAAATTAAAATTTATGAAAAACAAGATGCAACAGAGCTCTAGACTAAGAACAAATTTATTAATAAAATTCAACGGAACCCACAGAAACAATTATAACATGATCTATAAATTCTAGCATTACAAAGTTTATTTTTAATGAAAATCTAAAAAAAAAATAAAATAAAAATAAAAATAAAAATAATAAAAAAAAATTTGTATGCAAATACACGGTGCGGTAGGGAAACTTCCTTATTTGAAACGCGTGCCATCTAGCGATACTTATTCCGAGAAGGGTGGGGTGGCGCTCATTGAAAAGAGCGGTATCTAAAGTTTTATGTCATGTAGGTTTAGTACCGATCATGCAGTGGACGAGGGAGAAGCGCACGTTCTTCGTGGATTCGTACTTTTCAACGTACTGCATTTTCATCCGTATAAACTGGGAGTGGTGCAAGAACTTAATCCGAGCGATTTTTTTTCACGAAAAAGTGCACGAAAATCCATTCTTGACAATACGCCTCATGATGCCCTTGTGTTCTTTAGTGATGAGGCTCATTTTCATCCTTCCGGTTACAGCATGCATTAAGCAAAACATGCGATAATGGAGTAGCACGAATCCTCGAGAATTTCATGAGCAGCCCCTCCATACAGAACGTGTAACTGTTTGGTGTGCATTATCCAGAATAGGCATCATTGAACCATGACTTTTTGGAGAACGTTTTCCTGGACGCCTTATCTCCTTACGAGGCGATTGTCAGTGGTCAGCGCGCTCGCCTGATTTAGCCCCGTGTGATTTCTTTTTGTGGGGCTATCTGAAATCACGAACGTCTAAAGACCCTGACCGAAGAACAATATTCAAGCTGATATCGACAACATACCCGTTGATATTGTTACAAAATGTACAGGCGCGGTGAGATGGCTTCCCCGCAAAGCAGTTTTAGGGTTGCCACATTTGGCGATATGCCATGGGCTGATGGAGAACCTTCTGGAACGAATTCTTACCGGTTTAGCCCAGAATGTTCTCAAACACAAGCCGAAAGCTATATAAACCCTGCTAGTCTGCAGTCAGTGAGTATCGGGAGTAAGTGCTTTCCGATATGTTAAATAAACGAGGACACAAGACCCTGACGTTGAAGATGTCAAAGAAATTCTAATTGCCACCCACGAGAATATCCTGCTCGTCCTTAATTGGGTCATGCGGCACACAGGTGCCAAAGGCAAACGAAAAGAGCGGATGCTTTTTAGCCAAAGAGGTCGCATCTCATAGGCCATCACAAGTATTCCCATCACGGAGGAAGCAGTGAAAAAACTGACTCAGGACCATAATGCTATGGAAACGGCAAGAAGATGACTGTACAATCATAGGATTTTCCTGAATATTAGTATGAAAAAGGGTTAAAGTAGACCATTTCTTCCGACTTAGCTCGTACAGGTCACCGGAAAATACCCCGCGTACCACACCCGATTCCGACGGAAGCACATGGCCTGCGCATGTGGGAAAAAGAGGCAGGCAAGCAAGGGGCCCTCCACTACATCACTACATCCTGGCATGCAAGATATCCAGAATAAACAGCTTCCTGCCAACTTCAGAAATCTTGGCCTTTCAGTTCCCTTCAGTAACCACTACAGAGGGTAGTAATAGCGATTCTATCCCATATCAACGACTGCCCCATTGTCAAGTCTGAAAATTAACTGTAACAGACACAAGCCTGGAAAAGGACACAATTGTAAGTTGCACTCTACCTGCTATTGTCCAAACCTTGTAAAATAGTTCCTAACATTAGATTAACTTATAAGGTATTTCTCCCGCCTTCTTGACATGCCTTCGTAGTGAAGCGGTCAGCACGCTCTACGCGTATTCGAGAGGTCCGTGGTTCGAGTCACGGCGAGGGTTTTGCTCATTTTTCATCTCTCCTGCTTTCAAAACATACCTAATGTCTTTACAAACTTAGAACTAACATTTTTGCAATTTCGCTTCATTATCAAATAAAGGACAGCAGTCCATAGAATGATTTGCTGGCCCGCCGACGGAATTTTCAGTCAGAGTATAAAGAAAAGATTAAGAGAAAAAGCTGCGGTTAAGCCATCAGATTACTTGTACAATGACTGAGATGATATATCCTAGTCTTGTAGTGCCCTTATTCTAAACGACGGCTCAAATAAGAGTAAAACACTTACCCCCCTCCAAAACGGTATTAGCCCACCAGCGGCCGAGCGGTAAAGACGCTGAACACTGGTAGTTCGGTCTGAGGTTCGAATCCCGCGAACGGGCTGGCTGCATGGGCGTTTTCGTGGTTTTCCCCATGTGTAACGTGTATACGAGCCAGTTTCCCTTAGAAAGTCCTCCACGAAAGGCATCCCTCCCTTTAGGCTGATAGCCCTCGTGTGCTTTGCCATAATTAAATATACCATACCATACCATACCAAAACGGTATTTTGATTTAGTATTAAAGCTAATATTATTCGCCATCACCTAACTCCACTAATTACGTCACATAGTATATAAGATATTATGCAAACGATTTACACCTGAATACACCAAACATATTTGAAATTTTGGTTCGAATAGCAGTTGTAATAATTTATTCTTCGAGAATTATATTATAGTATAATATAAGCTTGTTATGGGAATAATGTATAGTAATAAAAGAATGTTGTTTAGCGACCAGAAGTAATTTTCCTTATCTTATAAAATTCAATTAAAAGAAAACACTGTGTTTAGCAGTTCGTATTTAGAAAAATATAATTTTCTTACTTCATAAAACTTTACTATTACCTGATTGAATTAAAATAATATGTCATATTTTTCTTTTGCCTTTGACGCAATGAATAATTATATAATCGGAATGTGTAGAGGGTTCCTGATGTAATTTATGACAAAGTTTTAGCACTCTTCGTGAATTGATAGAATTTCCCCAATGCTGCAGTACCCAAATATTACTGCAGAATTATGTTTTCCATATTTGCTCTGGTAACAACTCGGTAATGTCAGAAAACTTACTTTCTTAGCTTTAAAGTTTCAGGAATTTTATAGTATCTTCAGTCACTTTGATTTGATACGCTTACGTTTTATCTCTCAGATATTTTATTTTAAGGTTAGAATGAATAGCGGTGACTAAGACAAAAAAAAATAAATGAAAAAAATCACACATACATTATGAAGTGATTATTAATCGCAAAAAGTCGAAAAAGGAATTTGCAAATTTGGCGGTATAGGAACATTGACTTGTTCATGCGTCACAAGTTGTAGAGACAGGAAGTAAAAAGATCAGTATTATTTATTATACAGAAATATGATGATTCACTTAAGGAGTATTACATAATAAAGATGTAAAGATTTATGATGATGATGGCAAACTGAAAAAAAAAAAATAATGATTAACTATGATTATGTTTTGAGGAAAAGAGGATAACATATTGAAATGCAACTGCTTATAAAATTTATTTGTCTGGTACATGAAATATTCATTTTAATATGATATCGAAATTTTGATGCTTGTCTTCATAAACATTTGGTCTCGATCAGCTAAGAGAATGATTGTTCCAGAGGACAATATGATAATTATCAACATCTCAGATACAGTAATTTTCATCACCATTATTTATGTTTTCAAAATACATATATCACTTTCGGGATGATCCTCTACGACAGATGGGCAAACTACGGCCCTCGGGCCAACTCCAGCCCGCCGAAAGGTCCTATCTGGCCCGCGGATAGAATTTTAATTTTCCGGCCCGAGGCGAATTAAAAGAAATATATATTATATATCCGCCTCCTTTTCTACTTTGTTTAAATATTTTTTTTCTTCTTTTTTTCCAAAGAATTGATGATCTTTGTACTTTCTCTGTTTTTGTTCTACAAAACATAAATTAACGGAAATAGCAAGCACAGAGAGCTTACAATTGGTAAAGTGTTAAAAGCGAAAGTGTTACAGCTGTACATTGGAGCCATCAAGCGTTATCTCTTTCTCGGGGAGCAAACATATGGGAATCCAATATAGGTGAGTTAGACTTCTTCAAAAAAACTTAATCTTAACTTGAAACTAAATTTGTTTGCTGGGCAGATAGCTAAGAACGACTTGTCTCATTTCCCGAGGTTAAATTCAATACCCTCAGTAAATGAACAGAAGCTTAAGAATTATGAAGATGACTTGAAAAAACTGCATTTTGAGTTCGAACGAAGATTACAAGATTTCAGTGCCATTCAAACAGAATTTAGATATTTTTACCATGCCTTTCAACGTAAATTGTGAAGCAGTGAAGTCAGATTTGCAGCTTGAATTAATTAAGTTGCAATCTAACAATCATCTCAAGCTGTTGTCTCTACATATAATAAAAGAAAGAGTCTTGTCTCTCTCTCTGTGTGTGTATTTCGTTTGCGCTGCGCGTAAGCTAATAGACCCACGGCTACGAAATTTGGTACATAGGTGCATCTAGACAAGAGCCAGTGCACCTCGAAGCGATTTTTTCGAAATTCGAATTTAGAAATTAGGAAAGCGAGATTTTTACTCTACACACTTCATTTTCCCATCGTCATGAAACGTAGGCCCTTAGCTATTTTACGAACTTAAAATAAATTTCGTGTTTCAATAAATCGATTGAATACGAATTTATTTAATAAAGGGAGCTTAACACCTTTTCAACGGGATTTTTTCTAAAAACGTTTATTTTTAAAAATGTACAGTTTATTTTTCTTTGATTTTTGGACACGCTAAACTTTCATCCTTGCGACTGCTTATACAAAAAGAATTTTGGAAAAAATGATAATATTTTGTATTTTTAAAAAAAATTGTAAATGAAGCTTTCGAGTACACGTCTCACATCTTTACAAATATGATTTTGGCAACGATTTTCCTTTCTTATTGTTGTTGATAGATTTTTGATGAAATCGCATCATTTTGAATAGTTTCATTCTTTTAGAAATATGGGTTTGGCAACACTTTTTCATCGTATTTCTTATGTTTTTAAAGAGATTGACATATTTCATTTTCATTTATATATATATATA